CAGCATTTATTAATCTTAGTTTGTTAATTTCAACAATTACTAATGCATTATTGAAATCAACAGTTGTGCTTGTTAACAGTTAATGCACTCTGAATTAACATGAACTAAGTGAATAACTGAATAATGTCATTAACATTAAGAAAGATGAACAAATACTGTAATAAATGTATTGTCCATTGTTCTTTCATGTTAGTTAATACATTAACTTACATTAACTACTGGAACCTTATTGAAAAGTGTTACCTTAATATTAAATATCAATATATAATTTTTATTCACTTCTATGTAACAGAATAGAATATACGTGTTTTTTTTTTTGTTTTTTTTTATAATGTGGAACTAATTTTCCAAATAATGTATAGTCCTACAAAGCTATTATTATCAGAGCATATGAGCAGAGCATAGCGTCATTGAAGGTAGCATCATTTTAGCAGCGTTGCCCAGTACAGCTGAACTAGCCTACACCATGTTACAGCACAGTAGTGCCACTGCAAACAGAAACAAGTATACTGCATAGAAATTTCTTATCAGTGCGTTATTTGAGCGGACTTTGCTTTTCCGGTGAGCATGAGCGGTACACGAGCGGAACTATGGGAAGCCAAACAACTCAAATGTGGGACGAAACAGAGCGGTATTAAAGTGTTCGCGCCGCTGACCTGTCATCAGCGCGGCTCAATGGACCGAGCTGCGCGACCGACTCGACAGCGCAGAGAGGACGTGTTTACTAGCGCCACCGAACTGACAGCGCAGCGCTGATCAGTCACAACAGCGCACCGCGAACTATGGGAAGCCAAACAACCCAAATGTGGGACGAAACAGCGCGGTATTAAAGTGTTCGCGCCGCGCTGACCTGGCATAGGCGCGGCTCAATGGACCAAGCTGCGCGACCGACTCGACAGCGCAGAGAGGACGTGTTTACTAGCGCCACCGAACTGACAGCGCAGCGCTGATCAGTCACAACAGCGCACCGCGAACATTACTCTTTTTCTTTGTGTTTTATGGCGGGTGGCATCCAACGTTAAGGTGCATTACCGCCACCTACTATGCGAACATTACTCTCCGCAGAAGTTCGTGTTTTTTTCCTGCACATAACAATGAAGATCAGTATTAAGTTATTACATTTATTTTGCTTATTATCTTTCATATTACTACATGTAAACAGTAGTGTTAGCTACTTTGAAGCACGTATAGTCTAGTCACGTTCACAGCAGAAACTTCCATGATCCGTTCCTCGGGTTTGTAAACTGTACTCACGGATTTGTGGCCCCGCCCCCACCGGCAGATTCAATCACGGTGCGGGATGCATAGTATTGTGTTTATTAAACATTATTTTTCATAGTAGCCTATGAATGAGACCATGATCCGCACTCACAAAATTAGTCTTCTTTTTAGCGTTTATTTTATATTAATCACCAATAGGATAAAACACCGCCGCCTGTGTTTTGTAGCCTAAAATAAACGCTAAAGAGAAGAATAGAAAATTTCCTGAATTTTCTAAAAACAAAACAAAAAAAAAACGATAGAGTTTCGAGAGAAGAAGGTAAAAAGCAATACAAAACCAATAATGTACCGGTTATGTTGTCATTCCTTTGCTCTCTAACTGAATGCAATGTTATAATAGGTAGTTATTTAATAATAACTTTAACAGTGAAGCATGCATCTAACTCTGGGGGGGAAAGCTTAGTATAATAAAATCACCTAAATACGTCTGTGAATGAATGAATGAAATATGTTAAGAATGAATAGTACACAAACACATTTCCAAAACTGTAAAAGGTTATTTAAAAATAAAGCATTCATGAATTATTTTGACAAACATTTTACTGTCTTAAGTGCTCTCATTTATTTAGCCTATAAATTAAAATAATAATAGCTATTATTATTATTATTATTATACATTTAGGTTACATATGCATTTAGAAGAAGCTTTTATCCAAAATGACTTACAAAAGAGGAACAAATGACTCCAAAGTCAGTCACAATGCCAGGTTTATTATACAATAATAATCAAGTGCTAAGATTATCACAAAGATTTTGATGCACATCTTTCTTATTAAATCGTTGTATTCCACCTCGTACAATTGATAGAGAATCACTTAAGACTATTTGCTGCAGGCCTATTTCACATTATAATATGCAATAAAACAATATACAATATGATTTGTTAACATGTAGGCTACCTTAGGAGCTTACTGCATGAATCCGTGAGTACAGTTTACAAACCCGAGGGATTCAAAATCCGAAGGTACGGTTTGCAAAATCTGAGCGCACGGATTGGAAATTCGTGAGTACGGTTTATTAATCCGTGGGCACGATTTATTAAACCGAGGGAACAGTTGAAGAATTCGTGAGTACGGTTTATAAACTGAGGGGACGGATTGCAAAACCGTCGCCATGGATTGTTTTTTTTTCTCCTACAGGTGACTTCCCGGGTTCCGTAGTAAAGCCTTACAAACCGTATCTATTATATAAAATTGCAATGTTAAAGTTAAATAACAACGTTCCCTTTAGTAGAGACAACAAAAATCCCATATATATACTAGGCTATTTAATAATAGTTCAAATTTAAAATGGGCAATATTGTGCTGAATGTAGAACTTGACGACAACAACAATAATAACGAAGTACAAAATAAAAAAATATATATATACACTAGAAGCTGGGTGTGCTCCTCAAGAGGACTATGGTATTGTAAATTGATTAAAGTCTTATATATTTTATATTTGCAGTTTTTCAAAGTACAACGGTTTATGTAGTAGAAAGGTAAGCAAAAGAGTCATTACACAGTGCATTATTTGTTTAGACACGTGATGCTGCACGCTGAACAGAGCGGGAAACTTCAGACGCGGATTTAAATGCAGCCGACAGAAAATCCTGCCGCGCCAATGAATTGTGTATTGTGCATTTTCAGCAAAACGTTTGTCTTTATGTGTCTCTAATGAAGTCTGTGTGCTTCATTTATAGAGCTATAATATAGGTTGTGCTTTCTCTTTCGTTTGCTCCGTTTTTTAAACACCGAACTTCAAACTCATCAATGCCAAATTGTTCATTCTTGAAGTAAACTTGTGTCCGTTTGGTGATTAAATAAACTGTTTTAGACCGCTGCTCGAGATGAACACGACGCGTCCGGAGTGTGTGTGATACCGGTGAGTTCTCCTAGACTCAGCGCTGCACTTTTATTTTGATTAGATAATCATCAAGTGTTCAAGAATAGAAGCAGTTAAAGTGTGTGAGTATACATACAATATCCATATGTATATAATTTTAATGCTATAGCCTTTGTGTATATATTTAAAGATGTGCATCTTTAAGCATGACAGTTGAAATTAAATGGTAACACTTTAAAATAAGAGTCCATTTGTAGCATTAAGATTAATGAAAGCTGTGTAAGTATTGTTCCTCGTTTACAACATTTACTATTACTATTATTATTTTTTTTTACTACTACTACTACTACTACTAGTATGATTTAGTACTGTTTTTGTTAATAAAGCACTATTTTAGTTTTGTTCAGTATAAATTTTAAAACTAACGGTTAATTAATCGGTATCGGCCAGTATGGTCCAACCTAGCTATCGGTATCGGCAAAATCCACTATCGGTCGACCTCTAATCCTTACTTACATCCCCAAATCCGAAGTAAGTCCATACATCCGATTTAAACGCGGACAGGGCTTTCCTGATAACTTTCCGCAATGCCGCCATCTTTATTTTACTAACCACCATCTAGTGGATTGTAAAGAAATTAATTTTATTATTCTACCAAATAGTATAATAAAAGATTGATACTTGGTGTCCATGTATCGATACAGTATTGCCGCAGAAAATATCACGATACCATGCTGTATCGATTTCTTTCCCTCACCCCTAATTACTATATAGTTCTAACATTTATAATGTGTTTAGAAACAATTCTCTTAATTGCCTTTTCACAGACTTGAAAGAAAGAATCAGCAAGACCTTTGATACATAGATTTTTTTTTTTTTTTTTACAAATTTGTGCTGCTTTCTGTCGCTTTTATTTTGAATGCTATCACGGTCATACTTTAAATATTCAGGTGATTATCTGCTGTCAATATCCTTGTTGTGCATCATTAATCTACAGCAGGGTTTAGCCTAAAGTCCGCATTCAGGACGTGAGAGATGCATGTTTGTCCTGTAGCCCTGTGCTGAAGTCACTATGTCAATGTATAGTCACTGTAAGCCCGTTGTTGGCATGAAACCACTAGAAAAGCAGCATCATTGACAACATGCACCATGTCTACAGTGCACACAGGCGTAAAAAAATCAGTGTCTGTCTACACTGGATGTTGCACAGTGTGATAGTAGACACAGTTAGTCTAACTACAAAACACGGCAAGTGTGGGGGGAAAAAAGTAGACACTAAAAAATAGACCATTCAAAAATGAGTGGATTGAACAGTTTAGTTTAGTTTAATTTAGTTTAGTTTTGCCAGATCACAACAATGTAAAGCCAAGTGTTATTTATGCACAGAGACTGTGCTGGTCTGTAAAACTGACCCTCTGTGAAAAGTAATTGAGGAAACTTGATCTACAGTGTGTAAGAAACAATGCTAGTTGTAGAACAGAACATTGAGGAACTCAATTTGTGATGTCAGGAATTAAATTTGCACAACATATAGAAATCACGTAATATTTACAGTCTGTTAAATACACACTTTTTTTTCTAAATGAGGCATGTTTTTGAATAACTTAATTTAAAGTTAGAAACATTTAAATATTTTCTCTATTTTGATAAATGTCTTTTGTTTGTTTATGTTTCAAACAACTCTGTTCATAATGTCACTGTCATTTCAGTCATCATGACACAGAAGCAACTCAGCAGCTTGATTCTCATCAACCAGTGCATGATTATCTGCAGAGAGTCAAAGACCAGCACAAAACCAGCATGAAGAACAAGTATGAGAGCTTATTTGAGGGAGTCAAACTACAAGAGAATCAAACTCTCCTGAACAGGATTTACACACAGCTGTACATGAGGAGGACCTGAGAGAGAGCGGCATAGACGTCACTGACGCCTCAGTGTATTCTGGGATTTGCACTGAGATCTTTAGAGAGGAATCTGTGATTTATCACAGGAAGGTTTACAGCTTTGTACATCTGAGCTTTCAGGAGTTTTTTGCAGCACTGTATGTGTTTTTCTGCTATTTACACAAAAACAGTGAGGTTCTGAAAATGTTCCTGACAGGAAAGTCCAGAACTCAGTGTGAGGATGTTTCTCTGGATGTGTTTCTGAAGGGAGCAATGAATAAAGCCTTAAAGAGTAAAAACGGACACCTGGATCTTTTCCTTCGATTTCTTCATGGCATCTCACTGGAGTCCAATCAGAGACTCTTACAGGATGCACTGATACACACAGAGAACAACCCAGAGAGCATCAAGAAAATAATCCACAACCTCAAACGAGGTAAAAAAAACAACGTCAGTCCTGACAGATGGATAAATCTGTCACACTGCTTGATTGAGATGAAAGATAATTCTGTTGTCGAAGAAATGCAGGCATTTTTAAACTCTAATACAAAAGAAAAAAGTCTTTCTCTTGCACAATGCTCAACTTTGGCAAACATAATCCTGATGTCAGAGGAGGTGCTGGATGAGTTTGATCTTAAAAAATTCACCACTAAATCAAAAGATGGGAGACAGAGACTGTTACCTGCTGTGAGGAACTGCAGAAAAGCTCTGTAAGTGTGAAAATACAAACATGCAGTAGTTACATTTGACAAAAATTGATGGTGGTGAATAGGATCTTCTGGGTTTGTTCACAAGCATACAATGTAAATTATTGTAGTTAAGTGTTGTTTTTTTTATTCTTTACCAAATCAATACAATAAATATATTTTATAAATAAATTATAAAAAAAGGTTTTATGAAACACTTACACTTTGTAAACATAACCAAGTTACGAGTAAAACTAATACAATTGTAAGGCAGCTGTTAATGTGAATAAATAAATGAATTAAAAATTTTAATATTTTAAGAAAACATTTATTACAGACTGGGGATGCACAATATTTTTGGCATATCATTTATGCCGATAAAGGCCCAATATAAACATTTTGCTGCTATGTTTTGTCAGGAAGATGAAACAATCAATTAGTTTGCAGACAAAAATGCAGAGATGCTTTTATAAGGTCTTTATAAGGACGAGACTATTGTCAGTTTTTTAGCAATACTTATTGGTTTCCTTTTTTCAGTTTAAAGTAGCTACAGTATGATCTTGTTTTTGAATTTATTTAGTTAATATTCTTAAATCGTACAATAAGGTTGTCCAATAGCCAGACAAGTTTCAATCCTTCCAGCAACCTGTCACTCATGAAACGTTCACATTAATCAGTAAATAACAATGATCCAAAAATCAAATCAGTTCCCAAAGGACAAAACCAAGTCCCACATTTTTCTCATTCAAGAAGCTGTTTCACTCAGGTGTGTCACAACAGGGAAGAAAATCACAATTTCTGGTTCATGCAGACTTTGAAGTTAAAATGAACTTGGTGCTTTTGGGCATTCTGTGTATCTTGGCCAAGTCAGCTCATTCATTCTGTAAATTTTTCCTGCCTTGGCTTATACTTCTCTAAATATATATTTCAGCTGAAGTGCTGAATGTCAGTGAACTACTACTTGTAAATATTCACATTTGTTTAAAAAAAATCTATCCGAAGTCTTCATTTGAAATATATAAATAAACACCCAGACTACACGACTCCATAGAGAGACAAAACAAGGGCACATTTGCACTGTCTGATGATATTATCTGAAATCATATAATCATATAATATGTATTGACACATACTGTAAGGTCTGCTACACAAGGAAATCATACAGTCTTGCAATCTCATGGAGACACCAGCTCACCAACATGTCATCCCTGTTTTCAGATTGACAGGCTGTGATCTCACTGGTCAGCACTGTGAAATTGTAGCTTCAGCTCTACAATCATCAAACTCCCTGAGAGAGCTGGACCTGAGTAACAATGACCTGCAGGATTCAGGAGTGAAACTGCTCTGTGCTGGACTGAAGAGTTCAAACTGTCAACTCAACATACTGAGGTATTTAATTAGGTATTTAATTGTTCTGTGTAAAATATACATGTACACTCACTGGCCACTTCATGTAAACCTGTTCCATAGGTCATTAATGCAATGTCTAATAAGCTAATCATATAACAGCATGCATTTAGCCATGTAGACAGGGTCAAGAGGATCTGCTGAATTTTATGCCAAGCATCAGAATGTGGAAGGAAAAAATATTTAAGTAATTTTGAATGTGGCATGATTGTTAGTGCCAGACATATTTCATAAACTGCTGATCTACTGGCATTTTCATGAAAAACCATGTTTTCAGAGATGGGTCTGAAAAAAAAACTTAAAAAATCAGTGTGCGGCAGATCTGTGTGAAAATGCCTTGTTGATGACAGAGGTCAGAGGAAAATGGCTAGACTGGTTCAAGTTAATAGAAAGTCAAAAGAAACTCAAATAAGCACTCGTTAATACCAGTGAATGTAGAAAAGCAAAGCATCTCTGAACGTGTAACATGTTAAACCTTGCTGCAGATAGGCTAATAACAGGAAAATTAGACTACAATGGGCATGGGCTCAACCGTTCAACCTGATGCCCAACCTTAGCAGGGGCGTCATGCACTCGTTATTTTTGAGGGGGCACGAGTGTCATGCTCGTGCTCGTCACACTGTATATAACTGATATGGGCTTATGTTTTATTTTTATTTTTGGGTGTTAATGAACAGCGCATTCTTCCACCTTCAGTGGAATTACTCCACAGCAAAAATGGTGTAAAAAAAAGTGTGTTCACAGTGTGTGTGTGTGTGTGTTCACTACTTACTACTGTGTGTGTGCACTTGAATGGGATAAATGAAGAGCAAAAATTCAGCATATGGTTTACCATACTTGGCTACACATCATGCCACTATTGTTGCTGACCATGTCGATTCCTTAATGACCACTTAATGTTCCCATCTTGTGGCCACCTCCAGGAGGATAATGCAACATGTCAAAAAACTCAGATCATGCGTTTTGTTGTTGTGCAATTTAATTGCACTTTAATAATATAATGTGTTGGCTCCTTGAGCATCAATGTCTGTTTTGCAACCTTTTGTGACAGTCCTTAGAGGTAAAGCTGGATTGTAGCATAATTTATGGGGAAGAACTCACATGCCTTGTCCTGTAAATTTAATAAATATGCAATGAAAGTGTAACTAAAGTGTAATTCAAAAATATTTGAGTACACTGTAAAACGTTTTCACTGTAAATTTGCAGTCATTAACTGGCAGCAGCTTCACCTACAAAGTACTGTATTTTTTATTTTTATTAAATTTTTTTGCTGTATATACAATTACAGTGTATTAAGCATCTGGGGTCTTGAGGGTGTTTTGGGGGCCTGGAGAAGTTTTGACATGCCCTGGCATTTGTGCTTTTTTCAGTTACTTATAAACATATAAATGGCTAAAGTCTAATAACACTGTAAACAGCACAAACTAGGCTACAATAATATGTTAGCAGCATTTATGTACATGATTGTGTTTTTGAGAAAGCAATGTTTATGCATGGTTAGTGAACAACTAAACTTTTGAAGTCACTGAAATAAGGCCATAAAACACATATAGAACATTTGTTCACAAGACTTTTGAGAACTGGACCTTGTAGCCTAGAGTTTTTGCTTCAAACTGATTTGAAAATCATCTTGTTTACTCGCTCACAGAAAACAATATATTGAATTAAATTTTCTAAGACACTTTTTGAGTAGAAAGGGTCTATGCGAGAAGTCGTGAACTATCATTATTCATGCTGTGATTAACACCTGAGAAGACAAAGGCCCACATAATGAGCTGCATACTGAGCCATTCAGTCAGGTATGTGACTGAGAGGGAAGAGTTACAAGAAAGAATGTGAGGACAAAATAAATGTATATATTTTTTGTTTGTAGTTTATTAAGAATATATTTAACTATCACACAAAATAACTTGAGATTCACTTGCGAGTGCCGTTAAACAGTTTATTATGAACAACCAAAGCTGACTTTTTAGCATCATTACTCCAGTCACATGATCCTTCAGAAATCATTGTAATATTCTGATTTGCTGCTCAAAAAACATTTTTTATTATTATTATTATTATGTTGAAATGAGCTGAGAATATTTTTTTCAGTTTTTTTTTTTTGATGAATAGAAAGTTTAGAAGAACAGCATCGTTTGTAACATGATAAATGTCTTTATCATCACTTGTGTGCTAAATAAAAGTTTTAATTTCTATATATACTGACTCCAAGCTTTTGAATGGTATAGTGTATATTGTTACAGACTGGAGTAATGATGCTGAAAATGTAGCTTTGATCACAGGAATAAATTACATTTTAAAATACATTCAAATAGAAAGCAGTTATTTTAAATAGTAAAAATATTTCACAATATTACTGCTTTAGCAAATGCAACTTTATGTATTTTGGATCAAATAAATGTAGGCTTGGTGAGCAGAAAATAATTCTTTACAAAAACATTAAAAATCTTACTGTTCAAAACTTTTGACTGGTATTGTGTCATGTTGAAATATATAAATGAACATCACATACCTGGCATTTCCAAAGTGTATATTGTTCATGTGCTCTGAAGGACATAAAAAAACATTTTGAAGAGACTCATGGGAGTGTGTGCCTCGCTTGGTCTTATTTGCATTGGCTTGCTTTGCAATAGGTTATTTTGCACTGTTATGCTCACATCTGAAATAAAAAAGTAAGCATGCTGTTTACACAAATAAACTACATTATTAACATTATTGTGATGGTCACTGATACTAGTACTAATTTATAGAAAAAAAAAGAACACAATTACTACATTGCACACATATTATCAGTGATATTTACTGCTTATTTGATACATTTACAACTCAGACGATCGCAAACACCAATGACAGGGTATAACACATTCAAAATATTTACACCAGAGCAGATATTCATGAACAGAAGCTTAGTTACATTCATAAACACAAGCATGCTTTGTATGTAGG